CAGTAGCTCCTGTAAGAAGAGCTCTGTAAGCTCTTGGAGGATTGGCTACATTAGGGGTGTGTGGCCTAATATGCAAAGGAGTTCCTGCTACAAAAAGAGCCCACAACATAACTCTTTTATTTTCATACAGAATGAAACAAAGAGGCATCATGGTAATGCGTAAAACACTTCAGGAAACACTTTCTCTCTTGCGTTATTATTCCAGAACATTATAGACATTACCCCGCTGCTCAGCGAATTTATTTGAACATTAGAGAACCAGGTTGGTGTAGTCGTTAAGAGCGGTGGACTCTTATCCGGAGGACTGGGTTTGATTCCCCACTTCTCCACATGAAGCCAGCTGGGCGATCTTGGGTCAGTCACAGTTCTTTTTAAAATCCCCCACCCCAAATCCCTCAGCCCAAAACACACGTTTATCAAAAATTAGACAGGCTTTGGTGTAAATACAATAGGAAGAATAGGGCTTGCCAAAGAAAATTACTTTTCTATATCTTTAACGCACTTAGTTGTATTATTATAACAAATTTCCTGTATTAAATACCATTCGTTCATTATATATGAAGTACAATTCATGGACATAAGCAAAACCTGTGAATGATAATATGAGTAAAATACAAAACAATACAAAATCTTGATGTAGTTATTCTTGACGTTGTTTTGGCTATGCTCCTGGAATGTTTACTCTTTGAGATGTCCTGACGGAGCTGTAAAGTGTGCAAAGCAGACTGAGAAGTCCTTGTTATCAATGTTCCCTCTAAGCTGTGGAGTCTTGTGAGCAAAAATTTTACCTTGTGAGCTACTGGCATTAAAGTTATGAGCAGGTGATTTGGCTACTGCATAAATTAGTTTGCTCTGGAGCCATCCTTCCTGAGCTAAGACAAAAATGTGTGAGCCGGAGGCTAAAAAACTGTGAGCTAGCTCACACTAACTCAGCTTAGAAGGAACACTGCTCGTTATACAAGTTCCCGAACAGTGTTTTTCACTCCTTCATTTGAAAACATGTAGTTCCAAGGAATGTAAGAGATAAAGAGAACACGCTTTCCTAGGATTAAACAGCGGTTTCCTACGAATATATGATGCATGTATGGTATTTAATACAGGAAATTTGTTATAATAATACAACTAAGTGTGTTAAAGGTATAGAAGAGTACTTTTCTTTGGTGAGCCCTATTCTTCCTATTCAAAACACAAGTTTAGCTCGCCACTTAGTAGTGCATAACACTAAAAGATCTAGAACTTCCAGCTGCTAGACAGTCTTTGGATCACCTGGCTATACTATACACAATGCCTTAGGATTATTGTTGGTATTATTATTACATTGAAAATAATTTGTCCTGCCGCCATTGAAAATGTTTTAATTCTGTTAAAAATGCAGTCTTCTACACACACGGTGGCTCAAGTGGTTAAGACGCTCTCCGCCACAGAATTCCGTAAATCCAGGAAGGGAAGTCTTAGTGACAGATGGGGGAGGCAGACATCGCTGTGTGGTTCAGCAAACAGTTTTTCAATTGGGAATGGGTGCTGCACAGGGATGCAGCCAGTTCATCTCCTTAGGATGGGTTTCAGAATGAGGGGCATAACAGAGATCTCTAATAAATAAGGAGGTACACCTGGAAGAAAGCCATTTCTGGTGTATGGCCGCAGTTAGGATTCAGTCTTCTCCCCTTGTTTAAAGATACGCCCCGCAGGTCCTACTTCAGGTTGCATCTTGGATGGATGCCAAAATGGTCCGCTGTAGGGGCAGGGCCTTTTCGGTACTTGCCCCAAAGCTACGGAGCCCCTTTTGTCTCTTGCTTTATTCAGGAAATTGTCAGAGGCTTTCCTGCCCTACCTGTCTTTTGAGAGGGAGAACTCTGTTTAGCTATTACTTTTACATCTCTTTTGGGTCTTGATGGGTATCTAAGCTGTTAAACTGGTTATCATCTTTAGACTGTTGTGTAAACTGATGTGAATGATGGGATTTAAAAAATCAGAAGACAAATAAGAACTCAAAGCTGCCCTGCACCTTAAATAGCACCAGGCAGCTAAGAGGACAAACGATCTTCCCATCTCTAATGTTTTGCTCAGAGGACCGAAGGATCCACACGATTCGTCCTGGGCCCCAGGAGATGATTACTGAACAGCGGAATAAGGTAGGAGAAAAATTACAGCAGAGATTGGGGGGGAGGGGCTAGACAGCCTGGATGACTCTGTCCCCTCCAGTTGTTGCTGGGCCTGGAAAAAAAGTCTCTCTCTTGGTCCTGCCTTCCATCAAACATGGGTGCTGGGAAGGCTGTGAGAACCCCCTGATGCGGATGCGGCCCTGTATGTCGAACTCCAGACAGTTCTTCTAAATTGGGAGGGGTAGCAAATACAATAGGAGACAGAATCAAGAGACAGGGTGATCTTGACAGGCTGGAACACTGGGCAGAAACGAAACAAAATGAATGTCAACAGATGTAAAGTTCTGAATTCAGGTAGGAAAAATCAAATGCATAATTATAAGATGGAGGAGACTTGGTAGCAGCACATGTGATAATGATCTAGGGATCTTAGTAGACCTCCAGTAGCCAGGATCATCATGCCCCTGTGCGACCTCATTTGGAGTTTTGTATACAGTTGGCCACCCAATGAGAAGGGAGCACTCACTCAGAAGACCCTGATGCTGGGAAATATTGAAGGTCAAAGAAGACGGGGACGGCAAAGGATGAGATGGTTAGACAGTGCCATCGATGCAACGAACATGAAATTGAGCCAACTTCAGAGGACGGCAGAAGACAGAAGGGCCTGGCGTGATCTGGTCCATGGGGTCGCGAAGAGTCGAACTCGACTGTGCGACTGAACAACAACATACAGTTCTGGTCCACGCACCTCAGAGAAGGTATTCTAGCATTGGGAAAGGTGCAGAAAAGGGCAATTAATGATTAAGGCGGTGGAACACCTTGCCTATGAAGACATGTTAAAGAAATCAGGGCTCTTTAGCTTGGAGAAATGACGGCTGAGGGGTAACATGACAGAGGTTTACAAAACTATGCATGGAATAGAGAAGGTAGAGAAAGAATTACTTTTCTCTGTTTCTCACAATGCAAGAACTTGTGGGCACTCTATCGAATTAATGAGCAGTAGGCTAAGAACAGATCAAAGGAAATGCTTCTTCACCCAAAGAGTAATTAACTTGTGGCATTCCCTGCCACAGGAAGTGCTGGTGGCTACAAGTACAGACAACTTGAAGAGGGGATTGGATAAACATATGGAGCAGAGGTCCATCAGTGGCTATTAGCCACAGGGAACAGATGGAATACTATGTCTGGGGCAGTGATGCTCTGCCTTCTTGGTGCTTGGGGGGCAATAGTGGGAGGGCTTCTGGAGTTCTGGCCCCACTGGTGGACCTCCTGATGGCACCTGGGTTTTGGCCACTGTGTGACACAGAATATTGGACCGGATGGGCCATTGGCCTGGTCTAGCATGGCTTCTCTTATGTTCTTACATGAACATGAATCATCATTGTGATGCAGTGTCTAAACAGGCAACCACGATTTTGGGCTTCATCAACAGAAGTATAGTATCCAGAACATGCAAAGTGATACTGTCACTTTACTCCACTCTGGTTAGACTTCACTTGGCGTACTGTGTTCAGTTTTTGGTGCCACAGTTTAAGAAGGGTGTTGATAAGCTGGAACGTGTCCAGAGGAGGGCAGCAAAGACCGTGAGGGGCCTGGAGACCAAGTCCTGTGAGGAATGGCTGAAGGAGCTGGATATGTTTAAACAGGACAGGAGTCAATTGAGAGATGTCGTGATAGATTTCGTCAAGTATTTGAAGGGCTGTCATATAGAGGATAGAGTGGAGTTGTTTTCTGTTGCCCCAGAAAGTCAGAGCGAAAGCAGTGGACTGAAATTAAAAGCGTTTCCAGGTAAATATTATGAAGAATTTCCTGACAGAGTGGTTCCTCAATGGAACAGGCTTCCTCGTAGGTGGTGGGCTCTCCTTTAGAGGTTTTTAAGCACAGGCTGGATGACAACAGTGCTGATTCTATGAATTTAGGCAGACTCTGAGAGGGAGGGATAAGCCAGTGCTCAGCTCTCATGGCCATTTCTTACTTGCCCAGGGTAACGCCGATCACCACTTTGGGGTCAGGAAAGAATTTTTCTCCAAGCCAGATTGTCCGGGGAACCTGGAGGGTGTTTTTTTTTACCTCCCTCTGTGTGTAGAGCAGGGGTCACTGGGGAATTGGCGGGTGAGGGGAAGGTAGCTGTGAATTTTCTGAATTGTGCTGGGGGTTGGACTAGATCAGGAGTGGCCGAACTTGCTCAGCGTTAAGAGCAGGACTTTTTTGGTAGAAAAAGCCCAGCAGGAACTCATTAGCATAATTGGCCACACCCAACAGCAGAAACTCATTAGCATATTAGGCCACACCCCTGACAGCGCAGGTCATTGACATATGAGGCCACACTCCTGTGTTACCAGAAGTGTGGTCATCCAGCCACACCCACCTTTTGCTTCTTATTCTGTTTACCTTGTTTGTTGTCAATACCCAGGGTTTTTTTGTAGCAGGAACTCCTTTGTATGTTAGGCCACACACCCCTAATGTAGCCAATCCTAATGAGTTTCTGCTGTTGGGTGTGCCTGTTATGCTAATGAGTTCCTGCTGGGCGTGGCCAACTCAGGAGCCAGCCGGAACTCCATTCCTGTGCGTTCCTGCCCAAAAATAACCCTGGTTAAGAGCCACGTAGAATAAACGTCAGATGTTTGAGAGCCGCAAGACATGAACAAATATCACACAAACGTTTTAATTTTTAAAATATGCACATTTGTCTTTTATCAACATGAAATGAGGCGGCCAGAAATAAAAACAAAAAGGGTAAAAACAGATGTTGATGATGATATTTGATTGTCCAATGATATTTATTTGTTTGCTAACGATATTTATTTGTCTAAGAGAGAGAGAGAAAGCGAGAGGTGGAAAGAAAGAGAGAGAGAGAGAGAGAAACAAAAAAAATAGATGGGAGGAAGGGGGAAGGAAGGAAGGAAGAGAGAAGGGAAGGAAAGGAGGGAGGGAGGGAGAAAAAGTATGCTTCCCCTTTGCTTCCCCAGCTGCCCTGCTGGGAGCCACACAATACGATATTTATTTGTCTAAGAGAGAGAGAAAAAGCGAGAGGTGGGAAGAAAGAGAGAGAGAGAGACAAAAAAAATAGATGGGAGGAAGGGGGAAGGAAGGAAGGGAGAGGGGAAGGAAAGGAGGGAGGGAGAAAGAAAAAGTGTGCCTCCCCTTCACTTCCCCAGCCACCCTTCCGGGAGCCACAAAATATGTGTGAAAGAGCCTCATGTGGCTCCCGAGCAGCAGTTTGGCCACCCCTGGACTAGATTATCTTTGGGATCCCTTCCAGCTCTATGTCTCTAAGATCTTTCTGGATTCTCAAAGGGGAATAATGTTCCTTTTCCTCTTTCAGGGCCTGGTGACATTAGAGGAAGTGTCTGTCCATTTCACCCGGGAGGAGTGGTCTCTGCTGGATCCAGGCCAAAGGGCTCTGCATACCGAAGTCATGATGGAGAACTGCCGGAACCTGGCCTCCCTCGGTACGGTTCTCCCTTCCCCCTTGGCGGACAGGTGCTGGAGGCAGGGATGGCTTCAGAGTTTGCCTGTCTGCATTGAAAAAATTCAGGAGGTCCATGGCTGGTCCTTATCCTGCCTCTAAAAACTTTTGACTGCCACTCCAGCCAGATCCCTACGAAGTGCTGTCTCCAGAACATCAGAGATGGCAGCCACAGCTGTCATAGACGTATCCAGGTGGTCAGCCCTGTTGGCCTGAGACGGCAGAACAAATTTAGAGTCCGGTGGCACCTTGAAGACCAACAAAGGTTTATTCAAGGTATGAGCTTTCATGCGCAAGGCACACTTTTTCAAATAAGGCTGACAAGGCTGTATTTGAAAAAGTGCGTCTTGTGCAATAAACAGAGAGTGAGTATAAATGGGCAATTTTCTCAGTGGAGGGTGGTAAGCAGTGGGGTACCGCAGGGATCAGTACTTGGTCCGCTGCTTTTTAACTTGTTCATTAATGATTTGGAGTTGGGAGTAAGCAGTGAAGTGGCTAAATTTGCGGATGATACAAAGTTGTTCAGGATGGTGAAAACCAGGGAGGATTGTGAGGCACTCCAAAGGGATCTGTCAAGGATGGGCAAGTGGGCGTCAACATGGCAAATGGGGTTCAATGTGGCCAAGTGCAAGCAGATGCACACTGGAGCCAAAAATCCTAAATATAAATACACATTGATGGGGTCTGAACCGGTAGAGACTGATCAAGAGAGAGATCTTGGAGTTGTAGTAGATAACTCACTGAAAATGTCGAGACAGTGTGCGACTGCAATAAAAAGGGCCAATGCTATGCTGGGGATTATTAGGAAGGGTATTGAAAACAGATCAGCCAATATCATAATGCCCCTCTATGAATCAATGGTGCGACCTCATTTGGAATACTGTGTGCAGTTCTGGTCACCACACCTTAAAAAGGATATTATAGCTTTGGAAGAAGTGCAGAAAAGGGCAACTCGAATGATAAAAGGGTTGGAACACTTTCCCTATGACACTCCATGAAATTGCTGAGCGGTCGGATTAGAACGGATAAAAGGAAGTACTTCTTCACCCAAAGAGTGATTAACACATGGAATTCAGTGCCACAGGAAGTGGTGGCGGCTACAAGTATGGATGGCTTCAAAAGGGAATGAAATAAGCATATGGAGCAGAGGTCCATCAGTGGCTATTAGCCACAAGGTATAGTTAGGGACTCTGGGGCAAGTGATGCTCTGTCTTCTTGGTGCTTGGGCGGGGTCAACAGTGGGAGGGCTTCTAATGTCCTGGCCCCACTGGTGGACCTCCTGATGGCACCTGGTATTTCTGGCCACTGTGTGACACAGAGTGTTGGACTGGATGGGCCTTTGGCCTTATCCAACATTGGCGTCTCTTATGTTCTTATGCACACGAAAGCTCATACCTTGCATAAACCTTTGTTGGTCTTAAAGGTGCCCCGGACTCTAAATTTGTCATAGACTTGTTTGCAATTACGTTTGTGTGTGGGTACACACCACCTTGACTCCTCCTGTGTTTCAGTGCCTCACCTCAGGGTTGGCAGGCTGCCTGCCTGCAAATGTCTTCTTCTCTCTCTCGAGGTTATTTATTATTTATTTATTATTTGCATTTATATCCTGCCCATCCTGCGGGCAGGCTCAGGGCGGGTGACATCATTGAAATAAATACAATTTCAGTTTAAAACATTAAAAATTAAAACACAATAAAACATTAAAACACAATAAAACATTAAAACACAATAAAACATTAAAACACAATAAAACATTAAAACAATTAAAACAATGGGTACAGCTTGGAAGAGAAAAGTTGGCTATAAGATTCTGGCCTGATGGTACAATGGGTTAGAGGCCAGTTTCCAGTGGTCAGTAGACAGGTGACAGATGGGTGACAGTGACCTCAGGGGGGGCCATAGACGGGCACCTGCTGCCACAACCAAAGGCCTGGTGGAAGAGCTCCATCTTGCAGGCCCTGCAGAGTTGAAGAAGATCCCTCAGGGCCCTGGTCTCAATAGGGAGCATGTTCCACCAGGCTGGGGCCAGGACAGAAAAAGCCTCTTTGAGGCTAGACGGGCATCCCTCGGGCCAGGGACCACCAGGAGGTGTTGATCTTTCAAGCGTAACACTCTTCGAGGCGTATATGGGAAGGAGGCAATATCCAGTACCTCCACAATTATTTACGGACAGATGTGATTTGGATGGCCCAGGCTAGTCTGATCTCGTCAAAACTCAGAAATATATTGGGGCAGGAAAAATCCCAGCTTGTAGGCTGATGGGGACTGAACTTGCTGAGGCTGAGAGGGTGAAAAGTTCTTGGGGTCATAGTGGATAACTCCATGAAAGTGTCAACCAAGTGTGCTGCAGCGGTGAAAAGGGATGCTACGTGCAGGGCTATTTTTGGGCAGGAACACACAGGAACGGAGTTTCTGCTGGCTCCCAAGTTGGCCACGCCCAGCAGGAACTCATTAGCATAATAGGCCACACCCAACAGCAGGAACTCATTAGGATTGGCTACAATTAGGGGTGTGTGGCCTAACATGCAAAGGAGTTACTCCTCCAAAAAGAAGCCCTGGGTTTTGACAACAAACAAGGTAAAGAGAATAAGAAGCAAAAGGTGGGTGTGGCTGGATGATCACACTTCTGGTAACATGGGGTGTGACCTAATATGCGAATGAGCTGTGCTGTCAGGGGTGTGGCCTATTATGCTAATGAGTTCCTGCTGTTGGGTATGGCCTATTATGCTAATGAGTTCCTGCTGGGCTTTTTCTACAAAAAAAGCCCTGGCTACGTGTAAAAGGCAAACTCTGTGTTAAGGATTATTAGGATAGGGATTGAGAATAAAACGGCCCATATTATAATACTCTGGAGAGATAGATGGTGCAGCCTCATTCAGAATACTGTGCACAGTTCTGGTCATCATATGGCCTCATTCGGAATACTGTGCACAGTTCTGGTCACCATATCTCAAAAAAGAACACTGCAGAGCTGGGGAAAGTCCAGAGAAGGGAAACCAAGACGATGAGGGGGGTTGGAGCACCTTCCCTGTGAGAAAAGAGAAGAGTCTGGGATTTTTCAGTTTATAAAAGAGGCAACGAAGGATGATAGAGGTTTATAAAATTATGCATGGAGTGGAAAGAGTTGAGAAAGAGAGATTTTTCTCCTCTTCCAAAATAGTAAAACTCGAGGGCATCCAATGAAACTGATGGGTACTAGGTTCAGGATGAACAAAAGGAAATACTACTTTACACAGAGAGGGATTAAAATGTGGAATTTGCTGCCAGAGGATGTAGTGATGGCCACAGGGATGAACAGCTTCCAAAAGGGATTAGATAGATTCATGGAAGGGAACTATATCAGTGGCTACAAGCCATGGTGGCTGAGGGGAATCTCCACATTTGAAGGCACTAATCTTCTGAATCCCAGAGCTAGGAGGCAACATCAGGGGAAGGCCTCGGCCTCTGTGCCCTCTTGTTGGCCCTCCAGAGGAACTGGTTGGCCACTGTGTGAGACAAGATGCTGGACTAGATAGACGATTGTTCTGATCCAGCCAGGGCTCTTCTTATGTTCTTATGAAGGCCTCTGCCTCTGTGCCTTGTCGTTGGCCGTCCAGAGGAACTGGTTGGCCACATTGTGAGGCAGGATGCTGGACTAGAGGGACTATTGGTCTGATCCAGCAGGGCTCTTCTTGCGTTCTTATGAGGCAGCATTGATGAAGGCCTTGGCCTCTGCCCCCCCCCTTTTTGGGCCCTCCAAGGCAACTGATTGGCCCCTGTGTGAAACATAGTGCTGGACTAGATAAATCACTGGCTTTCCCTTTGTTCTTATGTCCTTAAAGTCGAACTTCTGATTCTCGAATCTGACCTCGCATCATGGCTGGAGGAAGGGGAAGATCCATTTGCCCAGGGACTTGAAGAAGGAGAGAGACCATCAGGTAACTGTTTAGGGGTTGAGGTGGGAACATATATCTAATTGGTTAGCACGTGCTGGAGGCCAAGCAGGTCTGCGTCTGGCCTGTGCCTGAATGGGACACCTCATGGGAAGCTGCCTTCTGTCACACTGGCTTGACTTCTACCTGTGGCAGAAGGTAAAGGTTCCCTTGCTCGAAAGCCAGTCAAATCCAACTCTAGGGTTTCATCTCCGTTTCCAAGCCAAAGAGCCAGCGGTCATGTGGCCAGCATTTCCGTGGTCATGTGGCCAGCATGACTAGACGCCAAGGCGCACGGAGCGCTGTTACCTTCCCACCGAAACGGTACCTATTTATCTAGAAGAGAGACTGGGTGGCTCTGTTAGGCGAGGGGAGGTCATAATAGGGAACTGGATTGTTTGTGTCCCAAATGTAAGGTTTTCTGCACTATTTGAGGCCTTACTTGGAGATAGTTCTATATGAATAAATATCCTTATCAAGAACACAGGAAACTGCCTTATATGGAATCAGACCATCCGTCTATCAAGGTCAGTATTGTATTACTCAAGGTCAGTATTATCTACCCAAACTGGCTGTGGCTCTCCAGGGTCTCAGGCGGAGGTCTTCCATGTCTGCTTGAACCTATTAATTGGAGATTAAAATGTGGGAGTCGCTGCCAGAGGATATAGTGATGGCCACAGGAATAAAACAGCTGTGGCGGATTGCACAAGACAAGCAGGTTTTTAAAATGCTGCCATTTCAGACTGGGAGATCGGGCGTTCATCTGCCCTGGAGTGGAGGGCTTGCGTGATTGGTTGCTCTTCACTCTCTCTGATTGGCCAGCATCAGCTGAGAGAAAGTTTAACATCAGCTGTTCTGGAGGGAAAAGGGTATTTAGTCTTGGGGTCTGGAGTGAGCAAGCCAATCAGACGGCTTCCGACAAAGGGAGTCAGTGGTCTGACAGGGTTAGTCAGAAAGGTGCTTCTACAGACAGAAGATAAGAGATTCCTTTGCCCTAACAGTATTAGAACTACTCTGAGGGAGAATTGTGATTCTGAGTCCAGAAAGCTTAAAAAATACTGCTTTACAGAGACAACAGATACTGGAGGAAAGACTTGGCCAGAGTGAATGGGTTGTTAGGCTGTAAGTCCCAATCAAACCAAATAGAAAAGGGTTACTGCTTCTTAGGGAAAAGAAGAATAATTTCTACAAATAAAAAGGGGTTGTGCTCTTGAGAAGAACCCGGGTCAGTGGTAAAGGGAATAAGCTGTGGACACCTCAGGAGTTAGTAGAAAGCTGTAATGTACGAAGGGAGAACCCAGATTTCTAAGGGGAGAGATCTAGACACTCTTACGAAAGAGCTATTCTCCAGGAAACTCTATTAAGAACCTGTGTTATTGCAGAAATATACTAAGTACCTCTCGCTGAAAAGCACTAGAAAACTCTGAAAACAACCTACAGTTCTATACATATTATAAAGTTTTACTTCAGCATTTCTAAATCTTTACAGGTTTAGCCTGTTTTTCTAAACCCTGCCTGTTAAATAACATCTTTATTCTGTTTTGAAAGTGCCATTTCAAATGGGTTTAAAAAATAAGACAGCTCCTGTATTTCCCTCAAGTTCATGTGCTGGGGCCGAACTGTAAGCAAATATCTGTTACAGGGTGGGACAGTTTTGCCTTTATGACAAAAAATACATGCTACTTGGGGGCGGCTCAGTCACTGAGGGGAACTAAAGTTTTTGGCGGGAAAATCTGCCTGAGTGTTGGGAATTGACGGGGGGGGGGGAATCTGTCATAACAGCTTTAAAAAGGGATTACCTCCTCTGCAGCATCCAGGTAGCTGTCAGGAGGGGAGCAAGCTGGTTGTGGAAGAGAGAGTAAAACCACCCCAGCAGCCCCTCCCCAGAAGAGAGCAAGCTGGCCGCAGTGGGGATGGTGGTGATTTTGCACCATTTTCTTCATGGCCGGCTTGCTCTGCTCCAGGGGCTTCAGCAAAGCAATTTCACCCTCTGCCCTGAGCTCTTGCTAGAGACAGAGTGAGAAGGCAACAAGTGAAATAAATAGTGCTCAAGTTTCCTTCTACTCTGAGTGTGCCAGTAGAGTGGAATGCCCTTTACTTTCCTCGCTGCCTTCTCGCTCTCTCCCCAGCAAGGCGCAGAGTACCCTTGGCCAAGTGCAACCCTTGTGCCAGGAGAGAGCAAGAAGACGGGAACCAAGGAGGGTGCAAGTTCAGGGGTGGTTGAAAGAGGCAGCTCTAATTGAACTGAGTAATTAAAATGGTTATCATTGTATGCTTAATAGGAATCGTGGTATATTCGAGTGTGTGTGTGAGAGAGAGAGATTGGTGAGTTGGCTCGTGTAGCATCCAGTCGTCATGTGGCTCTTGTGGTGGATAGGAATTGTGAATGTGGGTTTCTGCAAGCCACAGAGTGACGACCACTATGGGATTTAGCTCAACCCACATTTCCATAATCTGGATCCAAGGCTCTGTGCATGACACCAATAATTAATACCCCTCCGTGGAAGTTATGGCGAGGCTGTGGTTCTCTGGTAGAGCCCTTGCTTGGCATTCATAAAGTGCCAGGTTCAATCCCTGGCATCTCCAGTTAAGGATCAGATTGTAGGTGATGTGAAAGAATTTGACCTGAGACTCTGGAGAGCTCCTGCTGCTCTGAGTAGACAATACTGACTTCCAGGGCTCTTTTTGTAGCAGGAGCTCCTTTGCATATTAGGTGACAACCCCCCTAATGTCGCCAATCCTCCAAGAGCTTACAGAGCTCTTCTTATAGGAGCTACTGTAAGCTCTTGCAGGATTGGCTACATTAGGGGTGTGTTGCCTAATAGGCAAAGGAGCTCTTGCTACAAAAAGAGCCCTGCTTGACTGCGATGGACCAATGGTCCGATTCAGTATAAGATCACTCCATGTATTCATGTGGAGGTCACATTATACATGCGTTATACTGAATTGGACCGTTGGTCCATCGAGATCAGTATTGCCTACTCAGACTGGCAGCAGTTCTTCAGGGTCTCAGGCTGAGCTCTTTCACATCCCCTATTGCCTGGTCCTTTTAGAAGAGAGAATAGAAGAGATTGGATTTATTCCCCGCTCTTTACTCGAAGTCTCAGAGCAGCTTACAAACTCCTTTCCTTTCCCTCCCCCTCCCCCTCCCCACAACAGACAACCTGTGAGGTAGGTGGGGCTGAGAGAAATCTCGAGAGAACTGCTCTTTCAAGGACAGCTCTGACACAACTATGGCTTGCCCAAGGTCATCCAGCAGCTGCGAGTGGAGGAGTGGGGAATCAAACCCGGTTCTCACAGATTAGAGTCTGTGCACTTAACCACTACACCACATTGGAGATGCCAGGGATTGAACCTTAGAACCTTCTTAATGCAAAGCAGAGGCACTTCTCTCTCCCCCAATTAAGATTTCCCCCCCTGTTCGTCTTGACTGGAGATGACTCCGTTAGTTCCCTGCATCATTTCCTCTTTCACAAGGTTTGTGTCTTCCTTTCTACAGGGCAGGCGATGAAGAGTAGGTTGGGAGAGCAGAGAAGAGAAACTGAAGTAAGCCAGATCTGGAGGAAAAAATCCATTGCTCCTGAAAGTGTCAGTTTTCCAGAAATTTTAAATGAAGAACCGCTCCCTCAGTGTGCAAATCTTTTACCTGCCATAGAACATATGAGCACCTATCAAAACATCTATTATGATAAGATATGGCCAGACCATGGAGAAAGCTTCAGTCAGCACCCTAGACTTACTTCCTGTCACCCGATGCCCTCTGTGGAGAAGCTGCAGAGATGCTCCAAATACAGAAAGAGCTTCCGGAAGACAAGCCAGTTCATTAATCGGCAAAGAGTGCAGCGAATGCACCTCATTTCTCCTCACAGAGGGGCAAAACCGTATAAGTGCTTTGAATGTGGAAAGAGCTTCAGTCACAGCATGAGCCTCAGTAACCACCAGAGAATCCACACGGGGGCAAAACCGTACCAGTGCTCAGAGTGTGGGAGGTGCTTCAGTCAGAGCTCACACCTTTCGAGACATCGAAAACTGCACGTAGGTCTGAAACCATACAAATGCTCAGGATGTGGGAAGAGTTTTGGCCGGAGATCGCACCTTTCAAGGCACGAAAAACTGCATGTAGGACTGAAGCCGTATATATGCTCAGAATGTGGCGAGGGCTTCTGGCGGAGCTCCCACCTTACTCGACACCACAAGTTGCATATAGGGCTAAAGCCCTACCCGTGCTCAGTGTGCGGAAAGAGCTTCAGTCGGAGCTCTAGCTGTGCTTCCCATCAGAGAATCCACACGGGGGAGAAACCCTACAAATGCTCTGACTGTGGAAAGAGCTTTGCTCAGAGCAGCTACCTTTCTAGACATCGGAAACTGCATGTAGGACTGAAACCATATAAATGCTCAGAGTGCGGGAAAAGCTTCAGCCGCAGCTCACACCTTACAGTACATCAAAGAACCCACACCGGGGAGAAACCGTATGAGTGCTCGATATGCGGGAAGAGCTTCAGTCATAACTCAGGCCTCGCTTGCCATGAAAGAATTCACACCGGGGAGAAACCGTATCAGTGCTCAGAGTGTGGGAGGAGCTTCCGTGAGTACTCAAACCTCGCTTCCCATCAAAGAGTACATACTGGAGAGAAACCATATCAGTGCTTAGAGTGTGGGAAATGCTTCACTCAGAATACAAGTCTTACTTGCCATCAGAGAATCCACACAAGGGAGAAGCCATACGTATGCTCAGACTGTGGAAAGAGCTTCAATCACAAAGGAAATCTTGTTAACCATCAAAGGTTGCACACAGGAGAGAAACCATATGAATGCTCAGAATGCGGAAGGAGCTTCAGCCAGAAGGGAAGTCTTATTGGTCACCAAAGAATCCACACAGGAGAGAAACCATATCAATGCTCTGAGTGTGGGAAGAGCTTCAGACTTGGATCAAGCTTCACTTCCCACCAAAGAGTCCACACAGCAGAGAAACCATATAAATGCTCAGTGTGTGAAAAGAGCTTCAGCCAGTGCTCACATCTTGCTAGACATAAAAAATTGCATACAGGACTGAAGCCATATACTTGTTTGGTGTGTGGAAAGGGCTTCATTGAGAGATCAAGGTGTGCCTCCCATCAAAAAGTGCATACAAAGGAGAAACTATACTAATGCTCAAGAGTGTAGAAAGAGTGCTCTGAAGCAGCAGAACAAAGTTGGCACCTTTAAGACCCAACTTTGTTGCGTCTTAAAATAGCCTACAAGGTACTTTTTGTGGATTCCAAGGCATTGTTCCGTCATGTTCAAAAATGAGAGTAGAGAAACGACACCAATATTTTGTGATATTCCGGTTGTTCCTGTTAAAAAGAGTGTACTTTGCCAAATTCTAAAACATCAAACCTTCCCCCCCATCCCGGTCCGTAGTTAATATCCAGCCAGTTGAAGTTGCTGTTGTAGGGAATTGGTGTTGACACTTGCAGAAACGTAAAATATTTGCTTTCCTTTTGGGCTGTCCCATTGTAAGCACTAATATTTTGTCTTGGATTGGGATACCTTTCGTGTTCTGCGTAGATTTGGAAGGAGGGTGTACTTTTTGAAAACCAGTACAGGCATCCGTGTTGGCACACTTCTTGAAGAATGTGATCGGTGAGAAGACAAAATGCAGATTCCACTGGGGGGGGGAGCTTTTGTTCAAACACATCTGACCTTTTTTGATAGGACGTTCTTCCTCCTCCTCCCTCCATCTGGAAAACTGAAGCCCTGTGGGATCCCATGAGTTCTATTGACTGACAGTCTAGATGTCTTGGTTGTAGTAACGATTATGAGGAACACATGTGCTATCCAGATCAAATGTGTAATTTGATTGTGACTGTGTTGTCCGCTGGATTATGTGCAAGTCACAACTAAATTCCCCTTCTTGAGGCCCACAAACAATTCCCAGTTTAGATTAAATCAAAAAGGGAACATGACTATGGAGACAGCAAAACACGAAACCTGAAGAGGCAGAACGTACAGGAGGGCATGTCATCATTCTTAGGCAAAGATCATTTTGGGGGACAGCTTGAACATCATCAGGACTATTGGAACATGGTTCTGTAAGTTAACACTAGCATAGCCTACAGGTAGATTCAGGTGGGTAAAAAATTGCATACAGGACTGAAGCCATATACTTGTTTGGTGTGTGGAAAGGGCTTCATTGAGAGATCAAGGTGTGCCTCCCATCAAAAAGTGCATACAAAGGAGAAACTATACTAATGCTCAAGAGTGTAGAAAGAGTGCTCTGAAGCAGCAGAACAAAGTTGGCACCTTTAAGACCCAACTTTGTTGCGTCTTAAAATAGCCTACAAGGTACTTTTTGTGGATTCCAAGGCATTGTTCCGTCATGTTCAAAAATGAGAGTAGAGAAACGACACCAATATTTTGTGATATTCCGGTTGTTCCTGTTAAAAAGAGTGTACTTTGCCAAATTCTAAAACATCAAACCTTCCCCCCCATCCCGGTCCGTAGTTAATATCCAGCCAGTTGAAGTTGCTGTTGTAGGGAATTGGTGTTGACACTTGCAGAAACGTAAAATATTTGCTTTACTTTTGGGCTGTCCCATTGTAAGCACTAATATTTTGTCTTGGATTGGGATACCTTTCGTGTTCTGCGTAGATTTGGAAGGAGGGTGTACTTTTTGAAAACCAGTACAGGCATGTAAAGGGCATTGGCTTCACTGGAAGAGACTTAGCAAGCCTCTTGTTTTCTACTTCCGGAACTCGTTTGCAGCATTAATTTTTTTCATAGTACATGGTATTGTACACTCCCCTATTCACAAGTTCAGGAGGGTGCAACATACCTCATTTCACAGACTTTTAGATCCCCCCCCCCCTTCATTTGACTTATTTTGACCACATTTTCCATAGTGTAGATAAATCATTTCTATGGGGTGAGGGTTAGTCCCCTATATGAGGATCTTTCTTCCTATGCATATCAGTGCACACTTGCTCTGGAATCTCCCCTGGAGTTTTTCACCTTTGACAATATCCCACACCTGAAGCCCCCCAGACCAGTAGGTTGGTCTGCGTGACTCGAAGGGGGATTTTCCTGTTAAAATGCAGCATCAGTCGTGGCAACCCATGGAAAGAAAGCTTCCTAACAATGGCCAATGTTGGCCATTTTGTCACACTTCCAATGCTCAAGGTAGTACAACGTAAGCTGGATTCATGTGGCTTGGAAGCCCTCTTCTGCCAGGGTTACACTGACTTCTACTCTATGGAGCTCAGTCCCCAGATGAGAAGGAGAGGGGGAGATTAAGGAGCAGGAGACACTCTTAGGAAATATTTGCCTAAATGAGAGCCAGTTTGGTGTAGTGGCTACAAGTGGCGGACTTTAATCTGGGGAACTGGGTTTGATTCCCCACTCCTCCATATAAAGGCAGTTGGGTGGCCATGGGTGAGTCACGGTTCTCTCAGAACTCTCTCACCCCACAAAGTAAGTTTAGCTTGCCACCTAGTGGTGCATAATGCTAAAAGAGCTAGAACTTACAGCTGCCAGACAATCAGGAACTCCTGGCTATACCACACACAATTTCCCCATCTGTCCCATCTGATTTGGTATTTGAACCCAAGGATGAAAGCTGATGTCCCCGGGGCATGGCACATGCCAGATATGGAAGCTATGCATTTCACAGTGGATGTATTTGACTGTCAAACTTACCGTGTTCAAATGTGATGATCAGATGTGAGCCAATCACCCAGCCTCAGAGGAAGAACCTTCAGACAGTGAAGTCATGCAAAGTGTTCAAGTTAGGAAAGAATCCAGGCAGAAGAGAGTCAACGAAGGAAGGCTGTCGATTGGAAGAAGCGATAACGCTTCTCTTTTGTATTTGTCTGCTCGCTTTTATTTGTTGCTTAACAATTCTGTAAAGATACTCAAATAAAGATGTTCATGGTTTCAAAACCTGTGCTTGATAGCTCAATGCCAGGGGCTTTAATATGGAATAGCACAAATTCCAAAGTATGCAGAGCAAACGTGTGCCCCTTGTGTACATGCTTCCCCTCCATGTCATGGAGTTCCCGGGCTAACCACATCTCAGATGCTAAACAGGGTCAGGCCTAGTTACTACTTGGATGGGAGACTGAAGGTTGACGAGTTCAAAGAACGACACACACAAACAGCTCTGCAGAAATCTCTGTCTCCCAGCCAGGCTGGGCAACCTTTTTATTAAAACTTACCCCCTCCTTTTTTCTTCCTCCTGGTACATATTTAGTAATTACAAGCATACTATGGAATGTGTTTGTGCAGACAGCCTCAGTCTTATCTCTCCCCGACTCTTCTGCCAAGTTACTTCTCCGTTGAAGTCAGCAGATGCTTTTACCTTATGCAATTAGCACTCACTCACTCTGGTTCCCAATCTCCAGGCAGGAGTAATGAATTCCGGGTTTGCCACACAGTTATTCACTGCTCCCACAGGAGACCACCAGGGAATTCCAGGGGTACTATGCAGAGGCAGGCAATGACAAACCACTTCTGTTCATCTCTTGCCTCAAAAACCCTATGGGGTTGCCTTAAGTTCTGTTTGATTTGACAGCGCTTTCCATCACACCTCCACATCAGCCTGGTTTTCCTGAGCTTTGGGCAGGAGGTGTTTTTTTGTTTTGTTTTTTAACCACCTCTGGAATATTTCCCCAGTGCTGCATGCCATTTGGTTCCTGTAGGGTTTCACCTTTGAACTTGACTGAGGTTTCCAAGGCGGATAATCTTGTTATCAGGTGAAAATGTAGCATATTTGGGATCTCCCTAAGAGAGGGTGTCAGGTAAACCTCATGGGGAAGGGAGTTCCACAGTATCAGTGATGCCACTGAGAAGGCCCTGCCCTGCATAATCATTCACTCTGAGGCAATGAAACTGTCCATGTAGGCAACGAACTACCTATGGTAACAAAGAAGAAAAAGAAGAGATTGGATTTCTACCCCACCCTTCACTTGGAGTCTCAGAGCGGCTTACAAACTCCTTTCCCTTCCCCTCCCCACAACAGACACCCTGTGAGGTGGGTGGGGCTGAGAGAGCTCTGACAGAAACTGCTCTTTCAGGAACCACTGTGCCAGAGCTTGTGACTGACCCAAGGTCACATCAGCAGGTGCAAGTGGAGGAGTGGGGAATCCAACCCGGTTCTCCCAGATTAGAGTCCGCGCACTTAACCACTACAACCAAACAAAGCTCTCCTAAGGTCTGACATAACATACTGAAAGGTTACAAAGGTAGAAAGTGTTCAACTGACACTGAATAGCTGTGAAGCGGGGTAATGTATGTAATAAACGTTGCCATATACTACAATGCTGTCCTCTACGGCAGCAACCTGTATCATGTGACAGAAGGGGGGGGAAAGGCGTTGATGCTTCACTGGCAGGAAGGCCCAAACTGAGCAGCAGATCAAGAGAGCTGGGTTCAGGAAAAAGTATCCAAGAACCAGGAGAGATTGTTGTAATGAAGAACGAGTCCCAGGTTCCATGTCCAAGGAGAAATCCCGCCTTCCAGGGGAGACTTTCCCCTCACCCTCAGATCTGAAGCCAGGCCTGGATTCCATCTATATTAGCGCTGGAGCTTCACTCTTGACTAGAAGGGTTTCTCTCTTGACTACCAGCTGCAAGGGTGAGAACCGTGGCACGAAAGGCCCAGAATGATCTTTCCTGTGCTTCAGCTACTACTGCCCCATGATGCCTGTGAAATTCTGAAAGCAAGGGCAGGTTGAGAAGCTACAACAACCATCCCCGGTGAATTTCCACAGTGTACACTCCCTTTTCGCCTGTCAGTCATCAGCAGACTCACAGGGAATGGCTGTGCTCAGCTATCGGGAGAAGGAGACCTGCAAGAGCATCTCCCACAAGCCTCTGGAATGAGAGGCAAGCCTGTGGTCCAGAATATCTCTTCTGAATACAATATCCCACAATGCCGAGCTCTTCACAGGCCGCCTCACCCAGAGGTCTCCTTGAAATCTCCAGCAGGGCTGTAAACGAGGGAGATGTAGCAAGCTGAAGGGGTCTCTGAAATA